CGACTCCCTCATACGATCCAAATAAGGTTGTATGAGTTCAAGCTCTTCAAACCCAAAGAGATCTATATCAGGAATTCGGAGGGTGCCCTCAACTTTTACCATTCTCTCTTCCACGATAGCCCTGAAGGAGAATTGTTTCCTAAGACCCGGCATCCTACTGACCCCAACTCCTTGCTCTGAGCGCCATATTAATTAAAGGCTCCCAGTTCTTGCCGTCAGTAAAACTGTTAGGTAGACTAGGTTCTGGAACCCCATAAAATAGAACCGGTGATGAGTCACTGATTACTTTTTCCCCTCTCCTTTCTAATTCCTTCCTTTCCTGGCTGATGACAGTTTTAATCTAGTTTCTAAGCGACTCTCGTTCAGTTCCCCTCTCTCTCAATAGGGGTATATAGGGCCTAATGTCGTATTCCTCTGTATCAAGGTGTTTTATCACAAGGACATGGGCTTTCCCAGGAGCGTGGCGTTCCTCCAACGATATACAGCTTTCTATTTTGTAAGGAAACACCCCCCCGCTAGTAATAGGGACTAAGGCGTCTAGGGCCGCTATGACCCTAGGGCAATAACCTGACATTTTCCATACCTTATCCTCTTATCGTTACTCTCCCGCACCTTCCTCCTCACAAGCAGTTTTACCGAGTTCGCTCTAGGCCCATCCGGACCCCATAGAATAGAACCGGTGATGAGTCACTGATTACTTTCTCCCCTCTCCTTTCTAATTCCTTCCTTTCCTGGCTGATGACGGTTTTAATCCAGTTTCTAAGCGACTCTCGTTCAGTTCCCCTCTCTCTCAATAGGGGTATATAGGGCCTAATGTCGTATTCCCCTGTATCAAGGTGTTTTATCACAAGGACATGGGCTTTCCCAGGAGCATGGCGTTCCTCCAGCGATATACAGCTTTCTATTTTGTAAGGAAACACCCCCCCGCTAGTAATAGGGACTAAGGCGTCTAGGGCCGTTGTGACCCTAGGGCAATAACCTGACATTTTCCATACCTTATCCTCTTATCGTTACTCTCCCGCACCTTCCTCCTCACAGGCAGTTTTACCGAGTTCGCTCTAGGCCCATCCGGACCCCTAGTCGTGGCCAACGTCCCTCGACATAATCTTCTATTTCGCTAGCGTTCCTGAAGTACCCCACCCTTTCCTCACGAAAAGTTGCGGCGTCTTCCCACTCTTCACGATCGTCGTCCCTTGATCGTTCCCACTCGGCTAGATCCCAATCTTCTTCCCCGTACTCTACATCCTCGTCGTTTACTGCCTCTGTCCCTTCCTAGTATGTCCGGAGTTCGTAGAACCCAATGAGTGACCCTTCCCTAACCGACGAGTCGTATCCAGGAGTCCCGTATAACTCGGCTATACCAGCTAGGTGGCTCGGTGGCTCCCTCAGGGCTCTATCCAAAGCGGTCCAGAACTCGGCCGGTTGATCAAACCTCGGTGCCTCTCTGAGACCTCTAGGTGAAATAGCTCTAATTAGCTCTACCAATTTCAAAGCCGACTCCCCGAACCTGGGCCCTTCCTTCCAGAGCGCGTAGTAGGCGTGATCTTCGTCACTGCTCCTCAAAAGGTTTCTAATCTCGAGGAAAGCTTGGTAGACCTCAATAAGGCGGCCAAGTCCCCCTAGAAAGCCTTCCAAGACGAAACCCGGGACGGGCAGCCTCAAAGCTTGTTCGGGTTGGGGCAAGAACCCTTCTCTAGCCAGTCGAAGCGAGACCACTACCGACCTATAGTCCCTGTCGTAGCAGCGTTCCTTCCCCCTTAGCTTGTCGACCACTTCCTGCAGTATGTGTCGCGCTGTTACCTCGTCTGCCCAAGTATGAGAGTCGAGACTCAGAATTACCCCTAAGACCGGATCCCACCGACTTCGTTCTACGGCTTGGAAAACTATGTCCGCTAGAACGGAAGACTGATAGTAGAGGAAGCCTGTGACCACTAATTCCAAGGATTCTTCTATTAGCCTGCCTCTCCTGTCGAACTCATACCCTACCTGGGGCGCGACCAGCAACCAGACCCCCGGCCTCAACAGGATAGATCTCCACTCCTTATCTACTTTATCCAGATATCCTCGCCTGACAGCTTGCCCGGGTAAGGTAAATTCCACCCAATCTTCTCCAATGAACTCGGGTTCCCTATAGTCGAAGTGACAAAGCTCAACTGGGTGCTCTATCTCGTCGTGAGGCATCTAGTCGTCCACGGAGCTCCCGTCTAAAATCCGGCCCCTGTCTATCTCCCCACTTGTCTCTGCTCTCCTTACCTCGTCTCTGACCCTAAACACGATTCTGCGCAACTGTCTACGCGTGGGAATCGCTCGGTCTAGACAGTAGGTAAGTAACCAGGCTAGCTCGACGGCAGTTATCCTGAACTGCGTCGCCCTCTGCACTACAGCTAGAAGCCTCTGATGTCTCTCCTCATCGCCAAAGACTACTCCTGTGAGGAATCTAGGAACGATAACCGCTCTCACAGACGTAGCTCTAGGCAACTCCCAGTCGTACGCAAAACGCACCGTGTAGAAGGCTACCGAGTCGGCTCCGCTCCTCTCCACAAACTCACTGAACACTCTCGCACAGAATCTACGTGGTAATGATGTCAGGCATAAGAGAGTGTGACAACGACGGGCAGTCTCTATCACTAGATACCTCCACTCCTCCTCTAAGAGATATAGTCTAACGTTCACTTCTGCGCGAAGAGGTTCGCTAGCTCTGTCCCTTCTAACACACACTCTAGGCTCCGCCTCAATTCTCACCCACAGGAAGACGCCCTCGCGTATGACTAGACCTCGCTGTTCAGACGGCCTATACTTGCTCGATCCTTCCAACGGAAGACTAATGACGTCACAGAAGCCGCTCTGTTCAACGAGATGTACTTGAGCCTCCGATTCGATGTAAACCATTCCTAAGCAAAATAGAAAACGGTTCTCTCTCAGTATGTCACTCCCTGTGCCACTCTCAGACTGTTGAGCTCACAGACCCCCACGACAGGCCTCCTCTGATCACCCCTGTATCCCTTCAAGACGTCAACAGGCCTAGAAGAGAACCGCCCTCTGGCGTATCTCTCCCTACCCTCGTGTCAAGAAGGAGGTCGGATCAATGTGCCATCGTCGCTGGCCTACCTTCCCTGTCGCGACCTGAGCACGAGCCGGCCAACTCATGTGCTCTCGGGTGGACCGAAGTCACACGCGAATAGGGAGGCGGTGTCTCACTCGTGCATCCTCACTCCTATCCATGCCTCTACTCGGTCCACCTCAGGCATGGTCTCACATCCCGACTCGTGCTGTGAATCAATCCCCCCTGCTATCCATCAGAATCGACTAGCCTGTCTAGTCCCTGCCCAACTCCTTGCAAATCCGGGGCGCTTCTCCCCTCCCCTTCAGTCCCTTCAAGTCGTCCCCTGCTCACGATTCTCTCTCTTAGATTCAATATCTGGGTGGACTCACCAAAGGGTAGGGAAAATCAGAATGACGTCCCTCGATCACAAGGAAGGCAACAGGAATGAAATGCATGAAAGACGAGAAGAAAGCAGGAATCAGCGAAACCACGAAATGCAGAAATCATAATCTCACCGGTGAACGTCGATCATAGGTCGATGGGGGTGTCGTCTGCCCACTCGTGCCCGTACTGTCCAACGTCTCACTTGGGCATTCAGACCACTGGCCAACTGCTTAGCCTCCTCCGTCTGCCCTATCCCAGTCACACCCCTGTCCTGATCCTCTCACATCCCCGCGGTTACAGGCGGACCGAAGTCCCGAGAGGCAGCCTTCCCCGGCAACGGCGCCACTGTCGACCGGTAGAAGGGGTCTGTCGGCACGCCGTTCGAACCCTATGTCTCGCGCCTCGTCTGTCACCGCGGGAGGGTCGGTCGGGGCTCCTGTAACCTGCAGAAAACATGTCAGTCCACATCAACAAATACAAGTGTCGTAGCCGACCGTGAACAATGCAAGAAGAAACTCACGAAACACTGTCTGGCAGAAGTAGTTCCATTCAGTCTAAAACAATGGGATGGGAAACACTCGTTCCGGCCTCAGCCGTACACCTCGCTCCTGTGTCTGGGAAGTCTGTCTGAGTCCCTACAGACCTAGTCAACAACCGTCGTCTAATCCTCCTCCCAATTGGATATCGCCTGTACCGTGCACGTCGATCCCAAGGGACCGTGCTCGAACTCTCAGTGTCGGAAGTAGCCTCCCTCGCCCATCGGGGCCAAAGCTCCAGATCCACCATGACCATAGTTCGGGTGTACCCCTTCGGAAAGCCACTCCACGAAAGTCCCACTTCGGAAGGCCTGCTTCCTGAAAGTACCGCTCCCCTTCGGACGTACCCCTTCGGAAAGCCCACTTCGCGAAAGTACCCCTTCGGAAAGCCTGCTTCACGAAAGTACCCGCTCGAGAAGCCCCCTTCGGGCGTACCGCTTCGGAAAGCTCACTTCGCGAAAGTACCCCTTTGGAAGAGTACCGGCTCGGTAAAAATGTCCGCTCGGTGAAGTACCCGCTCGGTAAAAAAGTGCCAGCTCCGATAAAATGCCCGTTCGGTAAATATATCCGCTCGGTGAAGTACCACTTGGTGAAATGTCCGCTCGCTAAAAGTGATCACTCGGTAAAATGCCCGCTCGGTAATAGTGTCCGTTCGGAAAAAGTGCTCCTTCGATAGAATACTCGCTCGGTAAAAGTGCCTGATCGGTAAAGGTGTCCCCTTCGGTAGAGTGACCTCCGGTAGAGTGCCCCCYTCGATGGAGTCCCCCTCCGGTAGAATGCCCCCTTCGGTAGAGTACCCYTCCGGTAGAATCCCCCTTCGGTAGAGTGCTCGCCCGRAAAAGTCCCCGATCGRTAAAGCGCCCCTTCACGGCCTGATCCAGTCTGGTGTCCCAACCTAGGCCCTAAGGCCCGGCTCGGTYCGATCTCCCAATCCGCGGCCAGTAGCCCAGTCCTGTCYGGTCTTCGCCTAAAGTACCMRKCCARTCCGTCCACCCGGAAAGAACACAAAGRTGTTGTCTTGACTGACGCCCAGCTGAGCTCGATTGACTGTGGCCGATGGCCCCTTCTCTRAGCCCGCTGTCGAGTGGTTGCGGGYGACAACGAGCCGSCCCCTCCCGTGGATCTGCACACAGYCGTGCTCGATATTCCCCCGAAGGTGCGCGWATGTAAGCGCAGCGGTCYGCGRCTGCACTCCCCGCTGTCCCCGGGGTCGCGCGTAGTGGTGCTCAGGTGCCCGRACRCGTTCGCAAGCTCACGCTGCTCCCTCTCCCYGCGCGCAAGGGCGCGCTCAAGTGCGCAGCTTCCCTGCGGTTCTCTCTCCRCGTGTGCGCGGTTCCWYCCTCTCTCTCYGCACRCGGATGCGCACAAGCGTGCACGGKTCCGCTACGCCCTCTCTCCCCGTGCGCGGATGCGCGCARGCRTGCGCTGCTCCGCTGCGCTCTCCCTTCCCGTGCRCGGATGCGCGCAGGTATGCACAGCTCCGCTGCGCTCTCCGTTCAATCTCAGAGGTGTGCGGGGTGTGTGCTGGTGCGCAAGCTCACCGTTCCTCCCTGCAGGTGCGCAGTTGGGCACTCGYGTGTATGTACCCGCTGGTGCGCAGAAAGTYACGCGCGATTATGCGCCCGTGTGCTCGTACGTGCTGATGTCCCGRWCCGTCCGTACTCACCCCGTATGCACCTGGTCCCGCGTGGYTGCTCCGTGCGTGTTCTGTTGTGCRTCTGGTCGAAGTCCGTGCGCCCATATTCGTGCGTTGTCCAAGTCTGCGCGCTCCTCCTCAGATGATCCGCCAGTGAGAAAGGGAGCGCGCGCGTGAAAGTGCACTCCTCCGCCGACGGTGCCCCAGTGGTGCGCGGGTGCGCCCGCAACAGCGCAACCCTCCTCCGACAGTGCGCCAGTCGTGCGCGGGTGCGCGCGCAACAGCGCAACTCTCCTCCGACAGTGCGCCAGTCGTGCGCGGTGCATGCGCAACAGCGCGGTACTCCTCCCGTGCGTGCGGTGGTGCGCGAGTGTTCGTACCTCCGTGTGCGAGTCCGCAATGATGCGCAAGTGTGCGTGCAGGTAAGCAGCCGTGTGCTCCATCACGTGTGCGCGAGTGCGTGCGAGCGGTTGCGCGGTTCTCCCCCGCGGTTAGCTATCCCGTGGGTGGTTCTCCCTGCGCACGATAGCGAGCGAGCTCCCGTAGGTGGCTCCCCGCGTGCGATAGCGCGCGAGCTCCCGTAGGTGGATCCCCCACACGCGATAGCGCGCGTGCTCCTCCTGTGCGCATGACGGTGCGTGGTTCCTCGGTGCGCCCGTCTCTCGTGCTCCCATCCCTGCATGCCGAAGTGTCCCGAGCACCTCCGTTGTGCGCCTGCCGTCCTGACCGCCCGTGCGTGCATGCGAAGAGTCCCCCGTGCCTGGGCCCGGTTCGGCTTATATGCTCTGTCGGGCCCTTCTCGGAGTGCGAGCCTCGACCCTCGTGTGTTCTGTGGCAGCCGACAACTGGCAGCGCCCCGGTACCGGGCCTGTGCCCGAGCCTGATTGGGCCTTCGAAAAGTTCCTGGCGAAAAGGGCCTTACCATCGGGAACTGGGCCCTTCGCAGCGCCCTGGTACCACAGCTGTCCCCGAGCCTGTCCCAGGCCTGCCCGGGCCTATGCGGTCCCCACGCAGCAGCGGTACCGCTCTTAGGGAAAATCCAGGCTGGGCCCCGTAAGTAAGAACCCGGTCTCGAATCAATTGGGCCTAGGCGGACCCCTCGTCCTAGTGGGACCGCCCCTTCAAAGGAAAATCCAACCAGCCGAGTGGCCCCCTTGCCCGTGGCGCCCGCCTGCGTCATGGTCGGTGAGCCCCGGCTAGGTAAAGTAGCCCCCTTGATTGTACCATCGGTCTGCCTCGGTGTCGGCGAGTCCTGACCACGCAAAATAACGTTAAAGAAATATGTCGCCATTCTGCCCCTTCGGAGTGTCGTTTCGTCACACGATCGGTAAACAGTGGTGACCTCGATGGTCATGGTGTTGGTCTGCCTCATGGTCGGTGAACCCCGGCCAGGTAGAATACTGTTGTCGTCGCGTGCCCTCTGAAAGGAAGTAAAGGGCAGCGTAGTATTGTAGCCGCCCGACAACGGGTGACACCTATTTTGCACTACGTTAGCAATGGGAAAGGACCCAATGTGGCTTCTAGGGGATGCAGAGGCGCGAACCCGAAAAGAAGGCAAGAGGTTCGCCAACGAGGGGTGGGACGAAGTTAGTAGCAGAGCTGTGATGGGAGGATGGAGGGAACTCAGGCCTCCCTGCCTACGCACGACAGCGTGGGTGCCCGAGTTCGTGGCCGACTGGTTCGGGGGTTTCGAGCACATAGCAGACGTGGCCGACTCCATGAGGGAAGTACACATAGAATGTGCCTGGCTGACCGAGGAATTCTATAGGGTCTCCTTTAAATATGGGCCCTTCTACGGCGATAAAGCCAATGAGGTCATCACCGTCCTGAGAATAGGTAAGTACGACCGCCTAGAGGTAGACGAGGAGGTGTGGGACGCCATAGTTAGCCGGGAGGCGGCAGCCGCGCCATGCTAAGTAGAAGATGTCTTTACGCTGTTTGAGGTACTGTGGTTCGATTAAAGGGACCCGAAAATCAAACGCCGCAGGGAGGTCGGAGTATGGAGGGTGCAAGTGAGTTAGGATGTAGCATAAAAGAAGGGGGCGTGTGCATTAAGTTAGCAGGGGATGCGCGGGGGTCGAAGCAAGGGGAGGTAGCAACGCCAAAAAAAGGAAGAAGACTTGTACGCATATGGGGTAGAGATAGCAACGAGAACCACTGTACGATAGGAAGGGGGTACTGAAAGACTAAAACACGAAAGGCGTGGAATCTCAGTGGGTGCAGCATTCGGACTAAGGAAGCAGGAAAGGAGACATTGCAAGATGGTCCGGCGAATGACATTCTGGGAGGATAGGCCTCGCGGGATCCTACCACCAAGAGCATCGGGGGGCAGGGTCGAAATAAGCCTGCCGGCAAGAAACGTGGTGAGTAACCCGGTAATGGACTGGGTGGGGGTA